CAACATTTTCAACATATCTTTAGTACTAAGCATCGTGATTTTCAACTTGGTAACTTTGATTTTGCACGTTACAAGCAGCAAGAGATACCGAGAAGAGTGGAATGCATTGTATGTTCGCTTCTCACGGACATTATTGTTACCCGTAACGCGAATAGTGAGTGAGTGGGTTCGGTTCTATGCCGCTTTTAGCAATGTTCCAATAATATCGCGGCGGGGGACACCTAAGATGGGTTTTACAAATTGTACCCATGTGGGAAATCGAATCTGGGTCGGCGGCGGTGATGATGATGATTTGGAGATTTTACATGCGCTTTCTGACAAAATGCGTGTTTCGCAAATTCGTCTGACGACCGAACGCTTTAACCACTGGGCTACCCCACCGTCCTGTAATGCGCGTAAGTGTCAACTTAACATTGGTACTAACTTCATCCATATATACTTTACTCTAAGAAACGAGAGATGAATGCACTCAGACTTTAACACAATATAATCGATTATTTAGACAATAATCGTGAAATAATGTGACTTAATAGCCGAAACACATCACTAAAAAGTCACCTTCACGCCGACTTGAAATAAACTCAAAGAAAAGATGCAGATATAGAAAACAACTGTACAAATTCGTTGTCAAGTTACTAGTGGCAAACAAGGATAAGTTGAGCACCGACCTGACAATTGACCCGTATTAGCATGTATTAGTGCCGCCCACTGGCGCTTGCCATTGTTAGCGAAGGGGCCCCAGGTTGTCCGCGATCAAGTGTAGTGCGACTTGCTACACCAACGTGAGAGTCTTATGAGCAAGGCGTGTGCAGCTACGCGCGGAATTAATTTCATCGTCATGTAATGCACGTGCACTGGCCTACATCTGCTCCACCTTTCACAAACCAAATGGGTTTGCTCATTGCCGTGCACCGCCTACTTCTCGCAAACGCGTTCTCTGCGCCGGTCTAACGTACCCTTGTTTGCCGATCTGATTGTCAATTGAACACAAGGATTAAAGTGCGATCTCTCTCCTTCCAGTCTGCATTGCGATCTCTGTAAGCAAGGAAGCCGGGAATCTGGGTGTGATATTCGACTCGTGCCTGAACATGGATTCGCATATCAAGAGCGTCTGCAAGCGTGCGTACTTCCATATTTCACAATATCAGCATGATCAGGAGATATCTCGATGTCAAGACCACCTCAGCTCTTATCCAAGCCTTCATCACGCCGAGACTTGATTACTGCAACTCGCTGCTGTTTGGAACATCTGAGCATCTACTTAGCAAGCTTCAGCGTGTGCAGAACACTGCAGCGAGGGTGATAACCCGTCACCAGAAATACGACCACATCACCCCTGTACTCCACCGTCTACACTGGTTGCCTGTCAGATACAGGATCCAGTATAAAATACTGTTGTTAGTGTTCAAGCGTGTGAATGGACCTTTCAAATCTTCTTAAAAGACACTGCCCTCCCAGATCCTTACGGTCTGGTTCCCAGTATTTCTTGGAGGTACCAACCACCCGAACGAAGACATTTGGCGACCGTTCATTCGCAAAAGCCGGTCCAGTAATGTGGAACAGTCTACCTATGCACCTGAGATCGCAAAAGAATCTACCAGCATTTAAGTCACAACTGAAAACTCATTTGTTCAGTACTGCCTAACGAACTTGACCAATGTCGTTCCAGACTCATTTCCAGCGCTTTTGAGTGGGAGATGCCAGAAACTAGCGCTATATAAATATTTGTATGTATGTATGTATGTATGTATGTATGTATGTATGTATGTATGTATGTATGTATGCCCCGAGGCATATGTATACTGTTGGTAGGGCAAATTGAAACCACTAGGCTACCCCACCGCCCCGAGGCTGTGTTTGTAATATATACTACTTTCGTTTTGCACTACTCTTTGCTATTCGGTTTACAAAACAGACGGTCCAAATGACCATATGATATTTTTTCTGTGATTAAACTCCTCATAATCAACTCCTTACTTCATAGAAATCTGTGTTGAGGCGACGGCCTAAAAATAGCCCGTCTTTAAGAAAAATGAAACACTCCAATTGAACGAAGTTCGTTTATTTATATCAATTAAAGTGAAATTGAGTTACACTCCCACCCCACCCCACCCCACCTCTCCTCCCAACACAACACACACACACACACACATGAATTTGAAAATTTCTTATGCGATACAACAAGTTTCAAACTTGAGACTGATATTAGACAGACATATGTGACCATATGTCATGACAGACATGAGCTTCAAGGAAACATACACTAAACGCCAAAAGAAACGTTACCCTCCTTCCTTAAAGACGGAGGTACCTATCTTCAGCTGGCGTTGTGATGCGTGGACGTCCACTTTTCGGTCTGTCTACGGTGACATCAGTCTATCTGAAGCCCTGAATATGTCTTACAACCGCGATACGGTGGCATTCGAGGGCGTGGGCAACATAATTTTATGTCGACCCCCACCTGCAACATCCCAAGGGCTCTTTCTCTCTCTTCAGCTGTTAATAGTGGCATATTTTTCGTAGTTGTGTATCATATCATCATTTCTAGGCTCTCTTCATACCCCATAGAATAATTCTACATGTGAAATGGATGCAAATACTGCTTGAATATTGCTGCGTTTTGGCGATTGATATTGCTATGTGTAAACAGAAAATGGAAAAATGTTACTTTGCAAGCAAAAATGGTAACAATGCTCATTGTAGATGTTCCTAAACATTTTTTCACTATATCAAAGACACGTTTACTTGTTTTCACTAATGCAAATCAGCAAAATATGTTTTAAAAGACTGAAATCAAAGGAATGATTATTTTACAATTTTACACACTCTACAACAGTTGTTTCTTGTTCTAATAGTAGAACAATGGTGACTTTAAATGGTTTATCTTTGTCCCAAACCAGGATTTTATTTCAATCTTTCTTTTGGACATCTAAATCACTGTTATTGGTATATTTCGGCATGGACGAAAATAGGACAATTCAACTCTTCTGTAAAAGATGCATTCAACCTGAATATGAATGCATTTCAGAATTTTTTCCGTGATTTGCATACAGCTGTGTTGTCAACCTTTCTTGTAAACCAATTCCTTCTAACATATCTTTGAATGTTTTTAAGTAATTCATAAAAGTAGGAGGGTAACGTTTCTTTTGGCGTGTTTTGTATACGATCATCATACAGCTCCATAAATCAGTTATGAGCATATATCATTTACATTTCAGGAACAATTAATGAATGTAAATTATAACACGAAGCAAACGTGTCATTGGGACCGTGGCAAGAGAATCAACTTTCACTTTATGTCAAACAACACTACGGCAGTGCCAGCCTTTGGTGTATCAAATTCACGACTTCAGAGGTAAAATCGCGCATACTCTTTCGGCAACGATTTCAAAGATTTATACTACTCAAGTGCATACGTTACTTGATAAACTTTCAAAAGTTTTATGGTAAATATGCGAAGGACATTTCCAAATTCGACAGTTTGGGATATGGTACCGAACTTTTGGCTTTGATTTTGGCAGTGGTTTCTTATGAATATGGAAAGGGTTTTGTCGCTTTTAATTATGAGTTCATCTTCTACATAAAGATCTTGCCTCAGTGCACCAGGATGTACGAACGTTTCCATGTCTGCATTTTGGTAACGGTCAACTTTCCCCCAAACGCACACGCACGCACTCACGCACAAGTACATATACAATTCTAAAATGTTCTCAATCCCGAAAAGAAACATAATAAATATCTTGTGGTATGTTGAAATTTGCGAGTTCCAGCAAGGCTAATATAGTATGACCAGAAATTATTGAGAATTTTAGGAATATGTTTAATTGGATTTCTAGTATAAACAACCTTGACCAGCTATCAAATGCTTGGTTTCATTCAAGAGAGACAACTCCGTTAATCCTTTTTCATTAGTTTGTGAAGAGTTATCCCCCTTTGTTTACTTGCTAGCAGACGACATTTTCAGTGATCCTCAGTATGGATGATTTAGAGAAGGGGAAGTTGATTTTAGAGTATTATAACAAGGACATCAGATCAGCTTAAGTGATTTCAAGTAGAACAGGCATCTCTTTGTCCGCTGTTTATCGTGTTTTGAAAAATATTGTAAATGGATATGGCATTGAGCACCAGGGAGGCGCAGGTAGGCACAGAAAATTGACTGTCGGTGACAGGAGGCGGCTTGGTATTCTTGTTTCTAAAAACAAACGAAAGAGTTAAGAAAACTTAAGGCTGGATATGATTGATAGAAGAACTGTGGCTGTCTGTAAGGAGACAATTAGAACTGAGCTGCATGCAATGGGTTGGCAGAAAAGTCGAGGAATTCCATCACCGATCATGAAACCTGAACAAAAGGTGCGACAGTTGAACTGGTGCATACAGCATAGACATTTTAACTGGGACAATGTGATTTTCTCAGATGAACGTTCTGTGTGGCTGTTTCCTAATACACTGAAATTCTGGACCAAACAAACTGAAAAACCTTTGTATCAGCGCCCAAAGTACAGTCCGAAATTTAACGTGTGGGTGGCATATCTGTGTTAGGGACAACGCCCCTCTGTGTATTTGAAGGGAATATGAACAGTGAGCGGTACACAGATATTCACGAGGGACATATACTTCCATCTGCTCACGTGTTCTATGGAAATGTTTGGATTTTCCAGGACAACGACCCAAAACATCGTTCAAAGCATTCACAGACCTGGTTTCGGACCCAAAATATCACATTATTAGATTGGCCAAACTATAGCCCTGACCTAAATCCAATAGAAAATGTTTGGGGACTTATGAAGGAAAGTGTCAATAAGAAAAAGCTGACAAATACTGCTGAAATGAAAGAAGAGGTGGTCCGATATTGGGACATCATGGACCACGACTTTCTAACTTCTTTGATCAGTGCTATGCCCCGCCGCATTGAAGCCTGCAATACTGCCCATGGTGACTTGACAAAATACCAACTGTTCACCTGTCTTTGAATCTGGAGTAATGTTCTGCTAATATTCACATTTAATACGTGAGTAATGAGTGAAAATTAAAAAATATTACAATCTTAAATTCTCAATAATTTCTGGTTGTGTACATCGGTATATATATGAACAACAAAATACATACTGGCGACAAAATCCAGAGAATAGTACCTTCTTCATGTTTTTTTCTATAAAACAGATGACGTGTATATGACACAAGAAAATACGATGTATGGACAACAAATACAAATAGCATACATTGAAAAGCGACCTTAGAGAGGCAATCAGTAGAAATGTATCAAATTTGAAGCTGCTTAGCTTGGACTGATATTTCCAACAATAGTTCGTGTCAGCGAGTGATGGCTAAGCCTACAACCATCTTGTGTCGGGTATCTTCGGTCCATACTGCTGATCGTTGTGTGCCTGGACAATGTGCCGACTACTCGAAGTGTTTCTGTTAGTACCACGAGACTTTGGTTGAGCTGAATCACAAAACTTGGCCGAGGCTGCTGAAAAGAAACATGGTACTAAATTAAATCTTACAGGTTATTAAATGTGTGTGTGCCTTTTTTCTGTGATTGTGTGTGAGTGTGTGTGTGCGCGTGCGTGCGTACGTGCGTGAGAGTGTGTGTGAGTATGTGCGTGTGAGAGAATGCGTGTGTGTGTGAGAGCGAGAGAGAAAGAGAGAGAGAGCGCATGTGTGTGAGAGGAGGAAGTGTGTATGATATGAGTGTGTGGGAGAGAGAATCTGTGCGGAACGAAAGAAGGAGAGCATGAGTCGTCTTAGGACGTAAATCAGAGTGTATATATTGTAAAAAACTATATCTTCTTTTTTTCTGGCAAATAATAGTTAGTTTATTTTTGTGATATTTGTTGTTTCAAGCCACAAGCAACAACACTCCTCCATTTGACGGCTTGCTCCGAAAGATTGGGATGATGTCTAACCCCACCCTCATCCCCCAACCCCCTCTCCTACCCACCACCAAGTCAGTTTCATCTTTCTTCATCAAATTGTTTCATTAGGTTTCCAAAATGTTTCTGAAACCAAGTGACTCGATCTACATCTGAAATCATTTAAAAAACTTACCAAGTGATCTTATGTTGATTTCTTTAGCAGACTAAGTTACACAATGCGTGAAAACATTTATTTTGTGTTTTTCACAATTTATATATGTTATAGCCCGAATGCACTCTTGCTCATTGAGGTTGGAGATGACGATTTAAAAAATATATTGGTGGCCTGGGTCCCGTTCCACAACGCGATCGTAGCGCTACGACTGTCGTAAGTCTATGTTAAAGTATGGGAGTTACGATCATCTTAGCGCTACGATCGCTTTGAGAAACGGGGCCCTGGTCCGGAGGCCGCCGTGATATATGTTTTTTTAATGACTTTGGCTTTAAACATCATTCACTCACTCAGTCACATTTAACTGTTCTCTCACCCCTTTGCATGACACTGAACTTCTTATTGCATAGTAGCTAGCGTTCGCAGGCAAGCACCCCGCCTAGAATGGTGGCGACAAGCGTCATGATCCAGCCGACCACTACCATCGCAACGATGCCGACAGCAATGCTGTTAATGTCGTTGAGGTCTTCACAGGTCATTGCACTGGCGCTTTTAGACCTGTTAAATATAGCAGAAACTATATTACAACAAAATCAGGCATACAATTAAGGGGATTAAGTGTCTAATAGTTATTGATGCAATATCAATGTATACAGCCCGGGACAAAATAAAGTGGACACCTTTTGTGATCATGGCTAAATTAAATAAACAAGAGATGCTTCTTTGAAGGGGGTGTGGTTGTGGGCGTTGTTTTGGGTGTTGTTTTGATTGTGAAATACACTTTACACTTTACTGGTGAATGTTTCTTAAAATTTAAGCTCACATTTGTCAGATCTCCTGACCTGAAACTCAGATACCGCAGCCGATACAGATAACTCGGATCCTCTATTTCTACCAAGGGATGCAACTCTGTACCTTTGCTATTCCATACCACACTCAATATATATATTCCAAACATATATATCGGTAATGCGAATGAAACACGGATGCCACGTGACATGATAAACATGCCGATAACCTTCCGTTTGGGAATACACTGGCAGAAAGGAAGGATGGACCTATCGGCATGTGAGTTATAGGTTAAATCATATTTGAACCGAGGCGATGGTTGTAGCCCAGTGGTTAATGCGTTTGCTCGTCACGCCGAAGACCCGGGTTCGAATACCTATATGGGTACAATGTGTGAATCTTATTTCTGGTGTCCCCCGCCGTGAAATTGCTTGAATATTTCTAAAAATGGCGTAAAACTAAGCTCACTCACAAGAAACAAGAACAGATTTGTCAGTGAGTGAATTTAGTTTTACGCTGCACACAGCAATAATTCCAGCTATATGGCGGCGGTATGTAAATAATCTAGTCTGCACCAGACAATCCAGTGATCAACAGCATGAACATCCATCTACGAAATTGGGATACAATGAGTGTCAACCAAGCCAGCGAGCCTGACAACCCGATCCCGTTAGTCGCCTCTTACGACAAGCATGGGTTACTGAAGATCAATTCTAACTTGGATCTTCACAAACATAAACTATAATTATTAAAATCTTTAGAAAATATTAAAAATAGGACACTAATTGATATTAATCTGATATTACATGGCAATGCAGGTCTCTCCATTACTGAAAATCAGAATGTTTTCAAATATGTACATATCTAATCTCTCAAACAAATCGTTTTCTCAGTTAACGTCTGTTTAACATATCCTAGCCTAGTCTGTCACTTGTGTACACTGTTGTAAGATGAAATGTGAAATTCTTGGAAGAAGGCTTTTCTATGTTGGATAACTTGTGCCCAATCCTTTCCTTGAATGAATAAAATATGTTTTAACTAATCGTTACAATAGTTACCCTTCGCACACACATTTGTCCCCTTCAGTCCGGCAGAGTTGGTTGTCGGGTCTACTGAATGCGCCCAGTGCCAGCACGCATATGATAAAGATGATCCCAGTGAAAATGAGCGTCAGAATACAGAATACCATCTGGGTGATGTACTGAAATACACACGTTATTGATACAGCCAATATCGAGTTGTCATGGCAATATGGTTCTATGGTTCTATGTAAAAATGTTATGGTGCCAATACTGAAAAACGAACAAGGCTTGAATCCCTGTTATGTTCTATGTATCATGGAACTATGTTTATGATGATATTCTACCATCTTTGACTTTTCGTCGAATACATCTTTACTATTTTAATACAACTGCGTCTATATTTCAGACAAAATTCATATTTGAATTGACGACGACATCGACACATCGACATATACCTTGACACATATGCACACACCGACATAGACACATGTACATGCATACATCAATGTATATCTTTACACGTATGTACACACCCATATTACACATATCGACACTCTCACACTGACACACACATGTACATACACATACACATACACATGTATATGCACTTCCCGACGCATCAACACAGTGACACAGACACATATCGCCACGTACATGTACACACACTGACACGTACACACACTAACACAGACACGCACTGACACGTACACATGCACACACTGACACATACACACATCAACACATACTTTGACACACATATGCACACACGAACACATAAACACAGTGAAACAGACACATAGCAGCACCAACACACTGACACATACACATGTACACACACCGACACATACAATATCGATTTATGCACTCCACACACACATTTCCACACACAAATACACTGTACACTGACACACTCACGCACACTAGGGGGGAGAACGGAAGGGCGCTGCTACTCACCCCTCCCTTGCAGCGAGCACATGATGACACAGTACCGATGAAGCCAGGGAAGACAAACTGTAAAGACAATAAGTTGAGTGTCAGCGCGAAACGACCAATACAGCAGGATCTATACAATTCTCCCAAAAAATGTGATTTCCAACAAAATCATTGACAAACAATTACTGGATGAATGTAAAAGAGTTAATCGACAAATTACTCAGGGTTATAAAGTCCAAACATTTTTTTAATGATTGTTTCTGCTCTAAATTGCAAACACAAAATCAAATCAGATGTTGTATTGTAACATCAAAAGCTGTTTCTGCTTAGATGATTTAAAATTCAAAATCAGGATTTGTCTTTTTGGGTTAACAATTCCTGCTGATTGACACGGCCTGTAAATAATCGAGGTTGGAACAAAGAGACCAGCGATTAACAGCATGAGTATCGATAAATAAGAAGCGTTACGGTTGAGTGAATTGGATGGCAACGGCAGGAAGACAACACTGAAAGCGAACCTGGGGCAATGAACTTTGGTTTTTCTGGTTGGTTAACGCCGCACGATTCTGGACAAGATAATCCAGTGATCAACAGCATGAGCATCGATCTACGCAACTGTGATTCGATGAGCTGTGCCAACCAACTCAGCGAGCGTGACCCCGTTAGTTGCCCATTACGACAAGCATGGTTGCTGAAAATCAATTGTAATCCGGATCTTCATGGGTTTTATTATAAATAATTGAGGTTATATGCCACGATAAAGATCTGCAGAAGGCACCCACAGCCAAGCCAATTGACCATACAGGGGACGATGCATACGCAGCATATCCACCGAAGCCGCCTGATCGCTTGAGAGCCGCCTGAAGGATCTTGTCAAAGAGCACATACACCAAGACGCTGAACGTGATTCCTGCAAGCATAACAAGTGTAGAAGTGAGCACAGCTCACATACCCCCGCTTCCCACGTTGGGACATGGAAATGACTGCTATTGATATATATAATGTGACAAGGATCAGCCGCTCAGAAGACTTTGTCCTTGACTCTACTAAACTTTATATACATGTTAGATAATAGTTTTGCCATGTACTGATTACAGTAATAATTTATGGAAACATTATTTTTTTGTGTTTTCGGTGGAAACCTGACATACAATTGAACTTGTTGCACACAATGAAGTGGACGTAGATGAAGATTGTTATTTTAAGCACATGACATATCTGTGGGTCATGATTAACTTGTGTATTAAGTTTGGTGACCCTAGCATGTATAGTTTGGATCATATGCTGTGGCCAGGTAACCATCAAACACATTTTGCACCAAGTCATGTTTCCATGGAAACAACAACAAAACAAATTCTGAAAAAAAATTAAAATAGCAAAAGGCACATCAATGGGTAATGATTAACATGTGTGTGGAGTTTGGTGAACGTAGCATGTAAACGTTAAGAGATATGCTCCGGACAAAACCATCAAACACATTTGGCACTTCGTGTTTCCATGGAAACAGCAATAAAAGAAAACTCTGAAATTTTTTTGAAATAGCAAAAGGCACATCAATGGGTTATGATTAACATGTGTGTGAAGTTTGGTGAACCTAGCAAGTAATGTTTAAACTTCGTAGCGGGGGTATAATTATTACCTCAGTATACACATTTACACTAACGCTTTCCTTTTGGCACACGTGGTACGTTCATGCTGGGGCTTTTTGTGTGAAGGCAATAGTCTGAAAAGGTTGTCCTGTTATGAAAATAAGGAAATGAATATGCGTGAAGCAGGTGTATTAGATAATCATATTTTCATTATCACCAAGGAATATATTAATAAATTAAGATATACCTCCGCAGATTTAAATTTTGATCAACTCTTCTACCTCATATAAAAACACTACCATTTGGAAGAATATATTTTCGGGGAACACCACTCTGTCTTCAAAGACAAAAGGTTATGTCTCTTTCAAGACGACTAAATTTTAGAATAGCATGGTGAGTTGCTCAATTCTGCACCTTTACCTCTCATTTTCCCCTACCTCTCTCTTTCCCCATCCTCTTTATTTTTTAATTTTTTTATCTTCTTATTTTCATCTCAAGTTATTAACAACGGCATCAATAATACAATAATTCATCAACTGTAACATATGTTATGTTATCCGTATTACCTTGATGAAATGTAGATTACCATGTACCGTTATTAGTAATAAATAAATTACAAAAAAGATGAAAAATAGTCAGCGAGCCTGAAAATAAAAAATCAACAACAAACAAACAGTCTAAAAAGGTTGTCCTGTTATAAAAAATAAGGAAGTGAATATGCGTGCATCTACGTCTACGAAGATAATATGTTATAAGGAATGTAGGACCCTAGGGGATATAGGTCGTATTAACGTTGGATTTAGTTTAGACAAACATTAGACGGACGGACGGAGAGACAGACAGACAGACACACACAGACAGACAGACAGACAGACAGGCTTTTTTGTGAGTGCATTTATATTTTCATCAAAATATAATTATGTGCATATATTTTAGATGTCTGCCGTTTATTTTGAATTGGCCTGTTCCGTATTTTCTCAATTTGCTGAAGTTTTGAATTGTTCAAATATCGGTGATAAAATGCATGAATTCAAATGAATTCATTAAAAATAGTTCGACCATAGTTATTAATTAAGCCTGACTAATTCACAGTGCAAGTTACCTACAGTTTGACTAACTCATAGTGCAAGTCATCCACTGTATGACGAACTCATTGTGCAAGTTGAACACAATTCTAGGTGCCCGTGGTACGAGTTGCAGACACTGCAAGTTACCGGTGGTATGACTAACTCGTAATGCAGGTTAACCGTGGTGTGACTAACTCGTAGTGCAAGTTACCCGTGGTATGACAAACTCGTAAGCAGGTTAACCGTGGTATGACTAACTCATAGTGCAGGTTAACCGTGGTATGACTAACTCATAGTGCAGGTTACCCGTGGTGTGACTAACTCATAGTGCAGGTTAACCGTGGTGTGACTAACTCATAGTGCAGATTAACCGTGGTATGACTAACTCATAGTGCAGGCTAACCGTGGTATGACTTACTCATAGTGCAGGTTACCCGTGGTGTGACTAACTCATAGTGCAGGTTACCCGTGGTATGACTAACTCGTAGTGCAGGTTACCCTAGTGCGATTATCCGTAGTGTGAACAACAACTAGTGTCTGTTGCACGTAAAACCTGGTACCCGTAGTGCTGGTTATCAGCATAACCTGGTACCCGTAGTGCTGGTTTTCAGCATAACCTGGTACCCGTAGTGCTGGTTATCAGCAAAACCTGGTACCCGTAGTGCTGATTATCAGCATAACCTGGTACCCATAGTGCTGGTTATCAGCATAACCTGGTACCCGTAGTGCTGGTTATCACCATAACCTGGTACCCGTAGTGCTAGTTATCACCATAACCTGGTACCCGTAGTGCTGGTTATCAGTAACACCTGGTACCCGTAGTGCTGGTTATCAGCATAACCTGGTACCCGTAGTGCTGGTTATCAGCATAACTGGTACCGGTAGTGCTGGTTATCAGCATAACCTGGTACCCGTAGTGCTGGTTATCAGTAACACCTGGTACCCGTAGTGCTGGTTATCAGTAACACCTGGTACCCGTAGTACTGGTTATCAGCATAACCTGTTACCCGAATGACAAGTTACCGGTAAAAACGCGTATGTTAATTAATGCGGGGGCAGATAATATCATCGTTCATAATAATAATAATAATATCAGGCCTACACCTATCTTGGAATGCAAGTTCGAGACAAGCTCCAGAACGCCAAGATTCAAGACAAACTTCGGGCCGAGTATAAATCTCGCTTAAAGAAAGTCTGGAGCTCAGAGCTAAATGCTCGAAACAAGGTCAAAGCCACCAATACTTTTGCTGTGCCAGTACTCTCCTATTCCTTTGGAGTAGTTGATTGGACAAAACAAGACATCCAGAGTCTCGGCCGCCTGACCAGAAGGATCATGTCTGATAACAGAGCTCACCACCCTCGTTCCTCTCTCAATCGTTTATATATTCCAATCAATTCATGAGGTCGGAGTAGATTAATGTGGAGGTTCTTCATGATAGAATTTTATTGTGTACTTTTGCACATATTTATTTATCGACTGATCCTCTGGTGATGCATGTGAAGCATGATGAAAGCAAGGAATTCCACAGCTATTTTAAGCGTGCCAAGGTTGTTGGACAGAATCTGAAATTTGAGGTTGAGTTTGTTGATGGCGATGTACTGCTGGACGGTACAGCGATGGAAGTAAACCAGGTGAAGTCCTTCTCCAAGTCCGCCCAGAGTCCAGAACAGAATAGCAATCCCACCGACTCCTTCGCCTGGATGAAGTCGGCTGGTCTTAAATGTGAAACTGAGGGCTTTCTTTTTGCTGCTCAGGACCAGTCACTTCACACTCGTAATCGACAAAATATGATTCTAAAAGAAAATATCAATATGAAATATCGACTATGTAATGAATTTACAGAGACTGTCCAACACCTTGTCAGAGGATGCCTTTTTTTGGCACAAACAGCATATCTTAAACGACATGATGGCATGGTTCGCTGCTTTTACTATCGTCTTCGCCATGCCTGTGGCTTTGACTCTGAGGTCCATCCGTGGTACGACCCTGAACTTGTCCAGGGCGTCATGGAAAATGATGCTTTCAAACTTCTGTGGAATAGGCCTATATGCAGCCTTAGAGAAATTCCAGCCAACAAACCTGATCTTGTCCTTTTTGGTAAAGGCAATGAATTTATTTATATCATTTAATTTTCTGTCCCTTTTGACAGCAATGTGATTGACAAGATTCAGGAAAAGTATGATAAATATGTGGACCTCGAGTTTGAAATGTCTCGCTTGCATCCCAAGAACACTGTCGTCAGGTTCCCCATTGTTCTCGGTGCCCTTGGTTTGGTACCTCCTGATCTCTTGGCGCAGATCAGGAGAGTGCCCGGGTTCTCCACCGGGGGTACAGCCCTTCTGACACTCTGGGTAATGCAGAAGGCTGCAGTGTTGGGGAGCCTTCATATTCTCCGGAAAGTTCTTAGTGGGTTCGACTAGGCAGTGTTTCCTGGGAGAAGTCCCATTCGCTGTCTGGGCTGCGTGTAGAAGGGGCAAGGGCCCTGAGCTGATGATGAGCCTTACCAGCCTGACTGTGCCAGGACCACCCGAACCCTCTCTGCTGCATCCTATCTTTAATCTGTAAAACATAATAATAATAATGGCCATTTATAAAGCGCCTGTTTTCACGCACTTGAGTATGCTCAAAGCGCTGGCGTCTTATTATAACCCAAGCTGCCTGTGAGGCACTAGAAAGTTAACAGTCATATGAACTAACCCACCGGGTACCCATTCACAACAGAGGCAATTCATGCACAAACTCACTTGCCTAAGGTGACACCACATGTGTCGCTTGTGCTTCGCTGTGGGGCAGCACTGAAGTCCTAGAAACTATAAGGAGTCAAGCTGCCAAATACGGTCACCCATTTAAGGCATGTCCGCCACTAACGTTGCTTAACTTCAACTGATTTTCACAGAACCATGCACCACCACACATAGGTGTGCATATTTGCACACATTGCGTGGTTGCATGAATTTCATTATAAACAGTATGTGACTCTGTCCCATTGTAGACACTGCCAGCTCTATGCGATATCCAACATTACACTTGCCTACATCATTCATGAGCCCGGTGGCGGAGGAACTCGGCTCAGTCACATCCAATTCCATGGAGGAGGACGTGACATTTTGTTTCGGGATACAAAAACACGGCAAATGGTAATAGCTTTAACAGATATGTTCATCTGCCAAACGGCTTTGTTTGAAATCTTAGAAGAGACATTGTGGCGTTGTCGCTTTTACAAAAAACCAAAAAAACAAACAAACCAAAATAAACAACCCAAAAACACACAATACAAAACAAAACAAAAAAAACAAGCAAAAAGAGTAAAATCTGGCAAAGTGCTGTGTGCGACAATGCGACATTTTTGCTTTTTGTCGCACTTTTAATAATGTTTTTTTATTACACAAACGAGCGACAGTGCGACAGTGCGACAGCGAGACAGATTTCAAGGTCAAAACATGTCGTCCCACCTAAAATGTGTCGAAAAAACGTAAAGATGCACGACAGTGAGACAGTTTTCATGGTAAAATCATGTCGCCCCATCTAAAATGCGTAAAATGACCATTAGATATGGCGACATGTTGCCCATTTAGCTAACGTGACAATGTCCCTTCTAGGATTCCATACGTTTGATTTACACGTTAACGTAAAATACCACAACATTTCCGTCAGCTGACCCACATGAGATCTGCATAATAGGAATGGATGAAAACTTTATAATGCTGCGTCCATTATCATTAGTGCATGTCGCGAGGGACCGTCGATGATGTTGTGTAGTGTCATCGGAACAAAACATGACGCGCTATGGGACATCGCAGCACACGGTGCTTGAATATCAAATGCCATTGGCAGATCCTGGCTTGTCTGTGAAATCGAATTGGAATTGCAGATTTTAGATGCGCCACTGTTGGGAGAATAGTTGCCATGGGCCGTATATTTCAGACATCATGCACATGGAATATCTACTGTGGACAAACAGGTGACGCGCAATATGGTGTAGGATTCAGTTGATATGAGAATGGAATAACACCAGTGAGTGAGTGAGTGAGTGAGTGAGTGAGGTTAGTTTTACGCTGCTTTTAACAATATTCCAGCAATATTATTATAACGGCGGGAAACACCAGAAATGGGCTTCACACATTGTACCTTTGTAAGGAATGGACCCCGGGTCTTGGGCGTGACGAGCAAACGCTTTAACCATTAGGCTACCCCACCGCCCGTAATAACACTAGCGTAATACATGGGCAGAGACTGATTCAGCACGTACGTCACAGTGAGTGAGTGGATGTTAGTTTCACGCTGCTTTTAGCAATATTCCGGCAATATCACGGCGGGGGACATGGGCTTCACACATTGTACCCATGTAGGAAATCGAACGCTTGTCTTTGGCGTGGCGAGCGAACGCTTTAACCACAAGGCTATCCCACTGCCCTTCCAGCCTCGAACACCTCTGTGCAGCGGACGTCATGTACAGAGGAGACAACTTGTGTCTTCATAATTATTCAACCGCATTCGTGGTGTAGTGGTTAGAGCGTCCGCCCGGAGAGCGGCAGGTCGCGGGTTCAATCCCCGGCCGCGTCATACCAAACGACATTAATATATAATGCTTGTTGCTCCCTGCCAGGTGCTCGGCATTATTGGGTAAAATAAGGACTGGTCGGCTCGGAGTCAGTATAATGTGTCTGAGTTGGATATTCATGTTTAACATGGTATCCCAGTGAGCTAGCACTGTAAAACCAGCTTAAGTGTGGGCTAGTACGAGCAGCCACACATACACACGCCTGCGCGTCGTCATATGAGCGAAATATTCTTAATTTCGACGTTAAAACCCATTTCACCTCACCTGCCTTTGACGCAATTACATGTCCATACGCTTATGAAGGAAAAGGGTTTTCTAATAATTTAAAGTAATTACAACAGTAAAACATCTATATCTATAGGAGGAATGAATAAATATGATCTACGAATATTGCTGAAAATGGCGTAAAACTAAACACACTCACTCACTAAACACACTAAGGCCCGCCAGTGCTGGATTGTCCTTCCAGGGCTCGATTTAGTGCTTTGTTACTTGCACTGGTGCAACCCAATATTACAAAGTGCAACCTAGTTATTAGTCTAACTTGCACCAGCTGCAAGTCAATTTTTGAGTGGGTAAACCTCTGAATAAAACATCTAAATAATTCAATAGCATATTTCATTTATTACATATTCCAATAAAGTCAGTACAACTGGAATTTGGCTGGTGCAACTAGGTTTTTATCTTAGGTTGCACCCAGTGCAAGTAAGCTAACATCTCTTAAATCAAGCCCTGCCGGCTTCGTTTGTGTGACAGATTCACCTGTGAAATTGTATCGCCTGTTTTAGCCTATCAGTCAGTTCAGTATTTTTTATTAGGCTTATAATAAAGTATTAACATTTGTTTAGTTGGTGTGTTGGGTTTCAAGACAGTAATCATTATGCATTTCTGATCCAATCATCGCTCACGTGTGCATTCTGTCCAAACCAACAAATATTAACCATTGAAACAAATGCAATCACATATAGATATGTTTTATACCATGCGGTTCATATATCCAACACAGAACAATAGTTTTGTTACAATTGTAGGGTGACTAAATATGGTTTTACGCCGCGTTTGGTAATATTCCATCAAAAACATGGCGGGGCACGCCAGAAATGACCTTCACACAATATACTCGTGTGAGGAATCGAACCTGGGTTTTCGGCGTGACTGACTGACTGACTGAGTTTAGTTTTACGCCGCTTTTAGCAATATTCCAGCAATATCACGGCGGGGGACACCAGAAATGGGCTTAACACATTGTGCCCATGTGGGGAATCGAAGCCGGATCCTCGGCGTGAAGAGCGAACGCTTTAACCACTAGGCTACCCCATTGCCCCTTTTTGCAACAATAATAACTAAAAGCTGATTAAGACAAAGCAACGTACCTGACCCAGTGACAACGGCGCAGGAGACTCCATTGGCGATGTTTACCCGTGTTTTCGACATGCTGACTATAAAATCCCGACTGACACTTGTGATGAAGCTCCGTGGAATGACCAATGTGGAAACCGCCGCTAGTCTGCTTAAAAAGGTCACTCTGGAACAACGTGATCACGTGACGAGACCGTTACGGCATTGCCATGCAACGTACAAAATTACGCGATGACAGGGAATTGCCTGATCGTACTGCATCTCATAAAAAGGCTGAATAATAACTGTTAGTATTTACACAGAGCAAAATCTAAACCGTCTATATTGACAAAGCTTGTGGTGAGTGAGTGAGTTTAGTTTTACGCCGCACTCAGCAATGTTCCAGCTATATGGCGGCGGTCTGTAAATAATCGAGTCTGGACTAGACAATTCGGTGATTAACAGCATCGACTTACACAATTGGGAACCGATGACATGTGTCAACCAAGTCAGCGAGCCTGACCACCCGATCTCGTTATTCGCCTCTTACGACAAACATGAATTGCTGAAGATAAATTCTAACACGGATCTTGTCCGTGTTGGTCCTGAATAATACAAAGGTGTTAACACAGTATTAGTAAAGACTACATATGATAAACATGTTCTATGTTTTTTGCAGTGTATACAACACACAGTATAAGACATGTAATGTGGCTACCTGTACGTGGCGCGTTAACGTTAAAACCTAATTTGATTTCAGTATCTTGCATAATTTCAAATGATACTTTGAAAGAAACAACCAAACATTTGAAAGAGAAAAACAACCCAGAATTAAGTCGACTTCTGTAGGTCAGCCTTGCCAGCTTTCCATGGTATTCTTCTATCGTTGTAACTGAGGTGAATGGCTTCAAAATTGCTGATTAAACATTACGTATAATGTTTTACCAATGCAATATGGCAAATAGTCAATAAAACAAGAAAAAATTGTGTCCGGGGACACGGATGCCCCCACTGCTGTAGGAAGAGTTCACACATTCAGGGTCCCACTGAAGTACTTGAAAACACTAAAAACAATGTGTTGAGGGGTTAGATAACACAACCTATTATCATATAAAGATCAATAATTGAACAAAATTCACGAACAAGTTCAATAAACATCTATGGATCTATGAGATGCACACCTTTCAAGTCGCAATGAAACACACGTATAAGCTTAATCAATTCTGTTGAGCAGTTTTTGTAGAGAAGTGGATAGACCTAATCCCCTATGTCACTATCATCAAAGAGAAATTCAACAAAATTTATCTAAGTTCAAATGTCTCTAAACATACAAAAAAATATAAAATACCAAAAAAAAAAATATGAGATGCACACCTTTAGAGTCTCTATAAAAGACATATGTAAGCTAAATGAGTTTTGTGCAGTGGTTTTTGAGGAGAAGTAGATAAGGTACACCCCCTGTTGTATGGGACGAACAGGATGAATAGAACCAAATTCAACTAAGTTCAAACATCTGTAGAAGTGACAAAATTAAGAAATTGGATGAACATGGTATGAGATGCACACCTTTCGAGTTCCAATGAAACACACGTAGAAGCTCAATCATTTCCGTTGAGCAGCTTTTGTGGAGAAGTGGATAGACTTCATCCCCTATAACACTATATTCAGAGAGAAATTCAACAAAATTTATGTAAGTTCAAACGGCATTAAAATTGGAAAAATAAATAAAATACAAAATCAAAATATGAGATCCACGCCTTTAGAGTCCCTATAAAGCACATGCGTAATCTAAATGAATTCCATAAAGTAGTTTTTGAGGAGAAGTGGATAACGTTCACCCCCTGTTGGATGGAACGAACACTGGCTGAATAGAACAAAATTCAACTAAGTTCAAACATCTGTAAAAGTGACAAAATTAAGAAATTGCATAAAAAACTATGAAATGCACACCTTTAGAGTCCCTACAAAAGACATGTAGAAGCTTATTCAATTCTGTCGAGCAGTTTTTGTGGAGAAGTGGATAGACTTCATCCCCTATTACACTATCATCATACAGACATTTCATCAAAATGTACCTAAGTTCAAATGTCTCTAAACTTAAAAACAACAACAATAAAAACAATTAAAAAAATATGCACACCATAAGAGTCCCAAGAAAGCCCATGTATAAGTTCATTGAATTCCACAGAGCGGTTATGGTGGAGAAGTGGATAGAATACATTCCCTGTTTCGTACGGACGGACGCCATATATGGCGGGGGCATAAAAAGTGAATCTTGAGTTCCTAACGCATGGTCCAACCCGTATTTCAACGCGTATTAGATGAGGAAGTATATTCTTCTTAAAACGGTCTGCCACTTTCATCACCCGCAATATTATGGCGGGGGGCACCAGAAATGGGCTTACCACACTGTACTCTTGTGGGGAATCGAACCCGGGTCTTTAGCGTGACTAGCGGACGCTTTAACCACTAGGCTACCCTACAGACCCTGCTGATGCTGACACTATAATACTATGTTAATGAAAACATTGCTACTTATTGTGTGGTTCCCTCCCTGCTCGACTCCCGTCAGTATTATTGCTATTTGCGCGATATTGATCTCCGATGCCGACGTGATGTTGTCACAACAGGTTTGTTTATATTGTAAGGATGAAGGGGAAGACAGGGCGCCATGTTTTACTGAAATGTCCATTGTATATGAATGAATGGTCTATTCTAATAATAATAACAAATGTAATGATGAATGTGATAGTTTTAAAAACTATATGATATCTTATCCAGCCCTAACGTATGTTTTACTGCTGCCAAAAGCTGCCATTTCATTCTTTCTGAGCGTAAGTCTGAAGTGTATGCATAAGCGTATGTGTATAATACCAAATTCAGCTATATATGTTTAGTGCTTATATTTATTTATTGTAACATAGATGATGTTATACAATAATATTTTATCTTTGTGTACATTTTACAGAACCTAGTCTCTCATAACTAGGAGTGGCTCAACTTTTATTGCTTTTTGTACTGTATCTATTTCATATTGAGGTGAGATTTTAATATACAATCTGTCTGTCTTGTTCCAGTACTGTGTTGTTGCGATATGCTCCCAACCCATACCCCACTGATATTAAAGGTCTGTGCAATGTGTGCAGTCTAAAAGATACAGTTGACATAACTGAAGTGGTTCCAGGCTCATATGATTATATATGCATGAGTCATGTATCGTTACATAAAAAATAAATGATATTTATGACAAGTGCTATTTCTATCACAAGGTTCCACTTATCTTTCCGAAAATGCAACTAGTGGCGAAACAAGTAGATAATATAAATATTGTTAAACACAGCTGAACTTGACATCCGTCAGTACAGATCTGACCATTTATTTTCCTTCCTGATCGGGATCGGATGGTCAGGCTCACTGAATTGGTTGACACATATCATCGTATCTCAATTGCGTAGATCGATGCTCATGCTGTTGATCACTGGATCGTCTGGTCCATCGCAGCCACATAGACGGAATAATGCTGAGTGCGGCGTAAACCTAAACTCACTCACTCACTCCATCCTGGTGGAACAGAGTGTAATCCACGTCTTCAAACTGCGCCTGTCCATATTACTTTGACGAGTTAACATTATGATCTAGCGTTTCTTATGTGGTTAGGTATATTACTGCCTAGTGTAAGCAATGGTGTTAAGGTTAATGAACTATCTGGACCAGATTCAATTTGCTGTTACCCGCTGTTGTCATATAGCTTGGTTATTACCATGTGCCAGGTTGAATAAACACAAGAGACTATAGAAAACAATATATTATTCTTTCCTTTGGCTGTTTATTATTTCATATCTAAAATGGAACTTCTTTAAAAAAGGACACGAAGGCCGATTAAAAGCGAAAAATCTATTCCAACATGCACAAATAATGAATGCGAATTAACAATTCTGACGATGTCGTCCATTTGTTTGTTAACCACTGGCAAAAGTGTGGAAACGTCGTATGAGGTTCTCAGAAATCTTGAGGATATTTCATCTTCTCTTGAACGCTGTGAACGTTGTGAAAGCACCATGGTGGAACAAGGATTTAGAGTGTGCTTAAGGAAGAAAATATACAGCACTGAGGCTGCACAGAACTTTGGGAAATAGTTTTGATATTTATAAACAGCTATGAAAAGAGTTTAAATCTCTTTTCAGAAGGAATAGACAAGAATGCTTTAATCAACAAAAAATGTTACTGGTTCATTCTAGAAATAATCCCCGATCCTTTTGGAAAGTTCTCAGAAGGGGAAAACCCAACTCATTATCTACAAACATTAGTCAGGAGGTGAGGTGAGGTGAAATTGGGTTTAACGTCGTGCTTGAGAATATTTCGCTCATATGACGACGTGCATGCGTGTGTATGTGTATGTGTATGTGTGGCTGCTTGTACTAGCCTAGACTTAAGCTGGTTTTATAGTGCTAGCTCACTGAGATACCATGCCGCAGTGAAGCATGAATATCCCACTCAGACACATTATACTGACTCCGAGCCGACCAGTCCTTGTTGTACCCATTAATGCCGAGCGCCAGGCAGGAACCAACAAGTACCATATTTTAACGTCTTTTGGTATGACGCGGTCGGGGGATCGAACCCGCGACCTTCCGCTCTCCGGGCGGACGCTCTACCCACTACACCACGGAGGCGGCCATTAGTCAGGATGATTGGTGTGACCACTTTGAGCATCTGCTCTTCATGCAAAATGTTATTCTGGATTATTCGACATTATATTCTGTTGATAATACAGAAGTGGACTCTGACAGTTGTATAAATAGACCCTTTTCAGAGGAGGAAGTCCTCCTGGGGTTAAACAATCTTTAACTCAATAAGTCACCGGGACCAGATGGCCCGCAAAGTGAAGTACTTAAAGCAACTAAAAACTATTTAACACCTCTCCTAACAAGAGTATTCAACTCTTTGTTGAACAGTGGAACATTTCCCAAACAGTGGGGCACTAGCATAATCGGTCCCATTCACAAATCTAGCAGTATCCATGTGACGGATAACTATAGAGGAATATATCTTATTGATTCATTCTGTAAAGTGATTTTTGCTATTCTTAAGAACAGACTTCAACGTTGGTGTGATATAAACTCTGTCCTGTCTGAAACCCAGGCTGGCTTTCGGCCAAATTACTCAACGGTGGACCAAATATTTTGTTTACAAGCGGTGATACAAAAATATTTATCTAAAAAAGGTGGTAGAGTGTATTGTATACATGTATTTGTAGACTTTAAAAAAGCATTTGATAGTGTTGACCATGAAGTATTATTTAAAAGTCTAATTAACATTGGAATCAAAGGGAAATTTCTTAATATAATTGTCTCTATGAATTCAAATTTATCTGCTTGTGTTAGGACAGATCAGATCCTATCCAGGTGTTTTAAGTGTAATATCGGTACCCGTCAGGGTTCTATCTTGAGTCCGCTGCTTTTTTGTAATCTCCATAAATCAGTTATCTCAAATGTTTGATAGTAATGGTGGTAATGGTATCTTTATTACAAATGAATTTCCCAGTGTTGCAGCCCTCCTGTTTGCAGATGATGTGTCATGTTTATCTGACACAGCGGTACAGTTGCAGAGGAAGATAAACGTGCTTGAGCAATTTTGGTGAAACAAAAAATATGTTTTTTTCGTAAAGGTGGTCCTCTTCGCCACTATGAGGAATGTTTTTTTAAGGGTAGGAAAATAGAGGTAGTAAATGTATATAGATGCTTAGGTGTTGTGTTTACACCATGTCTCTCATGGACTAAGGCTCAGTGTTGTCTTTCTGCTCAAGCACAAAAAGCTTGTATGTCATTGTATAACTATAAAAATATATTTGGAGCAATTTCGTGTCTAGTATATTTAAATTTTTTGATGCAGCTATTTGTCCTATCCTTTCTTATGGAGCAGAGATTTGGGACACATCATACTGTAGACAGATAGAAAGTTTGCATATATACTTTTTTGAAAGTTTATGTAAAGGTTTTTGAAAGTTAGTAAATAGACCAGCAATGTTATGGCGCTGGGTGAATGTGGCAGAGTTCCACTGCAATATCAGTACATGTCCAGATGTGTAAAACATTGGTGTAGATTGCTCCAGTTAAAAATACTCACAGATTGCCGTATCACTGTTATCAAATGCTTACGTTATTGGATAAAGCTGGCAGAAATACTTGGGTTACATCTGTTAAACACATTTTGTATCAGTTTGGTTTTGGTATTGTATGGTTATCCAAAGACGTAGGTAATGTAAATTTATTTATCCTCACTTTCAAACAAAGGGTGTTTGACAGTTTATGTCAGGACTGGCATTCCTTAGTATCTAATTCATCAAAATGTAATGTATATAGTAAATTTAAGTCATTGCTGAATGTAGAAAGATACTAAAGCTTAGATATCTCATATTATTACAAGCATGCCATTTCTCAATTTAGGTGTAATAGTTGGGTAGGCACAAAAACATCAGTTATGCTGATAGGATTTGTTCTTATTGACGTAGTAATGGTTTACATTTGGTGGAGGATGAATTCCATGTTCTGTTAATATGTGAGAGATATGAAGATATTAGACAAGAATGCCTTCCTTCGTGTACACTTGTTAACCGCAGTTTTGATAACTTTATTAGGCTTATCTCTTGTAACAACACACTAACTTTATTTCGTCTCGGAAGTTTCCTCCGTCATAGAAAGATAATAAGAAGCAAACCTGATATCACAATCTGTAATTCATTTTATTCACAGTACTAATACTTATGCATGTACAATATGATGTTAACATTGTGCCTGCATTTCTGTATCAATATCTCAATATGTGAGAGATATGGAGATGTTAGACATGTACACTTATTAACCACAGTCTTGATAATTGTATTAGGCTAACTTCTTGTAACAACATAAACACATTAAATTTCCTTGTACGTTTCTTCTGTCATATAAAGAGAGTAAGAAGCAAATCTGATATTAAAATGTTTTATTCATCATATTCACAGTACCAATAGTTAAGCATCTACAATATGATATTACCATTGTGCCTGCATTTGTATTAATATGTTAATATGTGAGAGATATGTAGATATTAGACAAGAATGCCCTCCTTCCTGTACATCTGTTAACCGCAGTTTTGGTAATATTTTATAAGGCTAATTTTGTTTTGCAGCACATTAGTTTGCCTTGTACGTTTCCTCTGTCATATAAAGAAAGTAAGAAGTAAATCTGACATTAAAATGTGTATTTCTTTTTATTCACAGTACTAATACTTAAGCATCTATGATATGATGTTACTATTGTGCCTGCACTTTGTATTAATTTGTTAATATGTGAGAGATATGTAGATATTAGACAAGAATGCCTTCCTTCATGTACACAATTTCTTGCAACAACATAAACACAATAATTTGTCTTGGAAGTCTCCTTTGTCATATAAAGAAAGTAAGAAGCAAATCTGATATCACAATGTTTTATCCATTATATACACAGTATCTAATACATTTAAGCATGTACAACATGATGTACCAATGTGCCTGCATTTGTATTATGGGCCTTTGGCCTAGAATTACAGAAATAAATCTGTCTGTGTGTCTGCCTGTCTGTAAACACCAAAGGTTGGAGCTGTTGAAAGTTTGCTCGACATAAAGGATAACTATTTGAAACAAATCCATCTTTCTTGATGGGGGATTGTGCGTTTATGAAGCTCTTGGCTAGCTGGTAGTGCTACGATATGATCGATAATATAATTTTTATGTAGATAATCATTATTAATTTTCCTATCAACCATATTTCCGATTATTTCGATCATTCTAACCAGCCCTACTTGCTGGTGTATTCAAGTCCAGCCGAGGATAACATACTTTCACTTGTAACAGTGTGCAGGCAATTCTGTTAACACTCGGGTTGGGGGTTCATCTCAGTGTATGCCACTGCATGCATACACAATACAAAAAGATGCAATACAATGCAATACAATACAATACAACAGGCAGCACTGACAAAGTCATTACCGTAAGCCACCGCTTGATAAAGGTTTTAGCATCTACACCGCAACATCGCATATATTGTAATAAAGAAGTTGTATATCCATAGAAGTCTCTCCCTTTGTCATCACACCAGTTCTAAATGCCACTCAAAGAAGTCACCAAATAAAGTTTTGATGACATGGTAAACACTGTGTATAGTTAACAGTAAATGTGAAATTGTCTCCTGGGGCACATACGCCGACGTGACTGCCAGTATTTGCACATTGTGTTTATTCATGGAATTCAAAGGTCTTTTTGACAGATGTAGCGCTTTGTTTCTGCTCGTCTCCTGTCTTGCCACAGAAATGCCCTGCTCAATCTGCTGGCGACGAGGTAACCGTGCTGTTCTGTAGTATTTGTCGGATTGCCTGGACTCCAGGCAAAGTAGGTCATAGGTTGGCCATCGTGGAATACCCATTGTCCTTCATTTACCTCATCTGAACCGTCCAAGAAGTAGCTAAATTTTACAGCAGCTGCAAGGTTAAAGTGCACGTTCAGTATATAGTTGTACCTCCGAAAAGCGAGGAGTAATTATTTTTGACAAATGAATTGTTACAAGCAAAAGCAAAGACAACAAAGAGTTCGGGAGGCTTTGAGTTTGGATTGTCTCAAACGTTAGAATTGGTCTCAGGCAACCGATGCTTGTTTTAACAGACGGTTGACCGTCTCGCTGACCTCGTTAATATTTGTAATCATATAGAAATTGCATAAATACTCAGGATTTCAGTCACTGGATTGTCTGCTCCAGGCTACCGTCGCACAGCTGAAATATTGCTGAGCGCGACGTGTAACAAACAAACGAATCATTAGCATACCTATTGATTGAGTGAGTGAGTTAATATTTATCGTCACATAGGCAATATTTAAGACATACCGTGACGACAACAATCAGTTATCATAGTAAACATCAATAAAGTTAGAAATTAAAGACATGTTGACGATGAACAGCAAAACTATTGGGGTATCACAGAGAAGGTAAAACTAGCATGTAACCATGAAACGATATTATTATAGAGAACAATACAATATGAAAACGGGCTATGGATCACCAGCAACTGAAGTTAGATCACCATACTACATACCTAATGAGATAGCCATTGTAAATAAACTATGGTGTCAATGATACTATACTTGAATGCTTCGGGTTCATTGTACTAATCAGGATCGCAAAGAAACGGTTCCTTGAGGGCAGTTCCACATGTCTCAGTTACTTTCTGTGGATCTGCAGGTCATTCGCTGATTGTATCAAGGATAAGGTTAATGTTTGGAGGGAGTAATAAGGTCGTACGCTGCTGCACCTTTTTCGATGTCTTTGTTTTGCACCGAGTTTCATTTCTATGTTTAAGTTCTTTGGATAGAGCCAGCTTGACTCCTCGTGACAGACACTTAAACACTACTTACTTCCATAGTTCTTTCCAAACGTGTAGGACACTATTGGTCATTGTTTGACCCTCATCTTGTTTCGAGCAGTATACAACAATATCTGCAGGCTGATGAGTCAAGTGACACCCTGATATTGATCAATAATTGGAAAACCTGTTACCGCTTTGCATTGACAGATAACGAGCAGGGTGTTTGCTTTAAGTGAACAGAAAACAATTCTAGGCTTCGATGCTGTTTACATCATTGTTCTTCGAGGGAGTTGTTTTCTCCGGCAGAATGTTCATTCGTTTGTTCAGTGACTAGTAATGTTGCTAAAAGGATGCATATGATAGCGACTGTTATTGATGTTTCGAAGGCACATGCACACACCTGATGACGACCTAATCTGCTTGACGATGTGGTTCTGCTTGTCCTCGTTGTCAATAACAACAAGGTGTTCTCCTCTTGACGTGCAGTCAGCAAGACAGTCGTCGTATTTGATCTTGTCAAGATGAAGCTGGTAGCAGATGTTGATGAGGCGGTTGTGGACGTAGCCAGGTGGACACGAACCTGAGATACCCAAGAATTGTTTCAGCCACTTAGCGACGAGACCAAGTTTACACAAATCAATTATTACACAAAGTTACACTTACATGCCCGTTTTCATGTGCATATTTGAACTTCACAGTTTTATCTATCAACAATTTAGAACGCTGCCTGAAACAATACTATTTACAATAAGATAAATGGGATATATGAATACTACTTACAGTCTGCACCACTGACTAAAAGCGCAAATTTACAAACAGGCAATTATAATGCACACACAACACATACATATGTATTTATACTTTATGGTACAGATCAATCTCTTTCAAATAATGAATTATGAGATGACAGCTCACACGGGCAAACAGATCTTTCAGGTTTACTGCCTGAAGGAAAGCCAATGAATCTGAACAGATTATGATTTTTAATGGCTTTGTTGTTTGATTTAAGTGAAAGCTTTAAAGATAGCATTGGCCTCAGTAGTGAAGATTGAACTATTGTCTGGAATTCGTGAGGAGACAGTCTTGGTGACAGTGGCTCTGGCACCAGCCTTGGATCCATCTGTAGAATGGATCTCTCGGTGCTATATTTTGAGCGTAATTGGTCGTTTTCTTGGACTAAATTTATGATAAATACAGTTAAATCTTTAAAAACCTGTCGACGAACAGTAAAAACGACAAGAATACCACAGAAACAAGAATTACAACTAGCATCTATCTATAAAATTTGATATCACTCGGGACAATGAAATATATAAAACGGGCTGAGTACTAACGGTGCTTAACAATTGCTACCTGCAAGGGCCTTAGCTGGATTTACACCATCCCTTCAATCGCTGGCGATGTTACTGAGTTTTAGCCATTAGTTAAAACCACGAATATACAACGATTAAAAGTTTGGGGGAGCTAAATTGATCTTGAAAGTTTTGGTACTTAATTATTAATTACTAATTTAACAATGCTCTAACTCAAACACCCCCACCCCCCACCCCACCCCGAGGAGACAATCTTGGTTGCTAATTTCATCCACCGATTATAAAATACCATTTATCTATGTACAGCCTTCTCAATCCAAATGTATGTAATAATTTAATTACTTTCTAAGAGAACAAGTATTAAAATTGAACTTATGTTAACAAGATCCTTGGAGGATGAAACTTTGAAATAGTTATCCCTTGTGATGGAAAAGTCTATACAGTCAAGCAGCACATGCCTGACCGTGATTCTTTCATCACAAGGGATCCAGAAAGGAGGATCGTCACCTTTTATTGAGTGAGTGAGTTTAGTTTTACGCCGTTTTATTCCAGCTATATGGCGGCGGTCTGTAAATAATCGAGTCTGGACCAGACAATCCAGTGATCAACATCATGAACATCGATCTGCGCAATTGGGAACCGATGACATGTGTCAACCAAGTCAGCGAGCCTGACCACCCGATCCCGTTAGTCGCCTCTTATGACAAGCATAGTCGCCTTTTAGGGCAAGCATGGGTTGCTGAAGACCTATTCTATCCCGGGTCTTCACGGGTCTCTTCACCTTTTAACAGGTATTCGTTAGTATATCGCGTAAAGTCTGGGACTGACTTCAAATCTGGACTCACTACCCAAGTAGGTGTAACCAATTTTTTGTTTAATTTATGTAATTCCTTGATAACAACCTGGGTGTCCCACTTCTTTTGCATCAGATCACGGATAAAAGATCTGATGATAGCTATATGATCAGAGTATGGTATCAGTAGTGGTATCACAGATTTATTGAGGGCTGCCTTAGCAGCATAATTGGCTATTGTGTTACCTGAAATGGAAACGTAGATGGGTAACCAACAGAGAACTGCCAGTAGCAAGATAATATAATTCAATAATTTCAATTAATATTGGATGTTTACATGATAAAGGCACGAAAGAGAGAGAGAGCGAAAAGATGACATACTGTATATATTTAGGGTGTTTATTAATGTATTTTTAGGCTGTTAATATGACGTTTGCTTCAGCTGAGAAATTTGAGCTGGCATTTGGTAATCGAGAATATATTCAGATCAATTTTAGCTGCGGAGAAAAGGCCTGCCACATAGATCTTACCATTAACAATGCTGTTATGGGTGATTTGAATCTTATGATGCTTCAAAAGGCATTTCAGTTACCCAATGGCCTGCCAGCTTAATATAATGTACGTTGAACGCCTTATTAATGTGAAATGCCGCATAGTCATATTCAGCTCGACAGCCTGCAACATGCCCTGCTGTTGACATTATGGGTATCAGTCCAGAGAACTGGGATTAATGGCATGCATTTTACCATCACCAAATCCATTACTCGTCTCCATCAACCAGGTTGCTTGGGAGCTCTAATCGTACACAGAATCAACAGTAGTTCGAATAAAAAGTGTCACTTGTGAATTCCCGACTACATATAGGTTTCACAAACCTAGAATCATAAATGTGGTCAAAGTCGGGATTTGAACTCCCGGTCATGGAAACCGCCTCCGTGGTGTAGTGGTTAGAGAATCCGCCCGCAGAGCGGAAGGTCGTTGGTTCGATCCCCGACCGCGTCATACCAAAAGACGTTAAAATATGGTACTTGTTGGTCCCTGCCTGGCGCTCGGCATTAATGGGTACAACAAGGACTGGTCGGCTCGGAGTCAGTATAATGTGTCTGAGTGGGATATTCATGCTTCACTGCGGCATGGTATCTCAGTGGGCTAGCACTATAAAACCAGCTTAAGTCTGGGCTAGTACAAGCAGCCGCACATACACATACACACGCATGCACGTCGTCATATGAGCGAAATATTCTCAAAGCACGACGTTAAACCCAATTTCACCTCACCCGGTCATGGAAATACAGCCCACCTGAGGAACGCAAATTTCCTTGGCGATTTGTTGGCAGGTGTCTCAGAATATTTCGCTGTGGTATATGCCCTATGATCACTCGCACATCAGGGTTCCCTGGTTTTATAGGTCCAGTAGTGAGTGAGTTAATATTTAGCGTCACATCGGCAATATCTCAGACATGACGAAAACACTTTCTAAATTAGATATGAATACATTTTGAAGATTAAACATGTTGACGATGGACAGTAAAACTACTAGAGTTTCATAGATATCATGAGAACATATCACTGTAGAGAACAATACAATATAAAACGGGCTAATGGTCACCAGCAACTGAAGGAAGATCATCACACTAGGGCCCATGGGGACTTACAGTACTTTTGCTACCTGCATGACCCCAGCTGGATTATATGTCCTGTATGACAGGTGGCCAGACAACGCTTTAGTTGATGGTTCCCTTGGGAAGTATCCTCCTCACAAAACATTAAGCAACAAGTATTTAGCAACATGAAGTTAGAAACGGATTCGGGATTGGGGATTGGGGATTCGAATCCCGAATCTGAATATTTTGTTCACATTCAGGATTCGAATCCCGAATCAGAATTTTTTTCAGATTCGGGATTCGAATCCCAAATGTGAAAAAAAAAATCAGATTCGGGATTCGAATAACGAATGTGAGAAAAATATTCAGATTCGGGATTCGAATCCCCAATCCCGAATCCCGAATCCGTTTCTAACTTCATGTTCCCCAAGTATTTTCAGTGTAATATCTTTATCAATCTCGATAGCGATTTTTGCCGACATGTTACTGAAAGGTACATATTCAAATAATATATAACCTTTAGTGACTGATTTATGTGATAACTGTGACAACATCACCCGAACACAACCACCCTCAGAGACAACATGCAAAATGTGTGGTATGAATGTGCTCCACTGTTCACAAATGCACCCCGATTGGTGTAAACCTACCTGTAATCCATGGATGATAATGCCTCTGGTACAACAAGCTGGTCTTGATCCCAGAAGCTTGGGATATTACTCGCATTTGTTCACCCCAGACTCTGGATGACCTTGTGAGTCATTCCACACTCATTTGCCAATACGTTACTGAACACTGCTTCACTGTCCAAAACTGACTTGAACCTTACTGTTAACATTTTGCTCCATCAATGCAGCACATTTCGCACGACTGTTTCACGGGCACATGCTTTTGATGATTTGTAAGTCTATTATTGCTCAATACCATTTCATTTCATTTTGTTAATCGTGTGTACATATGTTTCACCTTTCTATTGCATCATTCCGTGATTTGCAATTTAAATAAATGACAATGTAATGAAACTAACAATGTGTGTTGTTTAACTTTTTGTGAGGAGTATATGTCAAAAGTCGTTATTAACAAAAGGCACTTGAAGGCAGAGCCTTGCATGACCATCTGTGTCCCTGCTTTTGTTAAAGATCACATATACTCTAGGGGGGTACAAATAATAAATCACTAACTGACATCGCTATAAATGAAACCCCGTCATTAAAACTACTCACTTCGATCTTTAATCAACTTAAATAAATCGACCTCTTTGACAACAGTGCACAATTCTCACCCGCGAACGAAATTTCAACCAATCAGAGCGGGGCGTCTCTGTGACGTCATATGAGGAATAGCTATGAGGGCCGATGCAGAATTCATCTACATTTCAGGGGGTAAATTATCTTGTTTACAGGTTTGTATAAACCTGAAATCGTGACAACTGTTGTGGACAATGAAAGCTATATGTTCTCACAATCTACTGTCATATAATTGTGTCTCCTGCTTTGCCTAGTTTCCGAGTAACAACTTGTTTTCATAGACGATTCTGTCAAAATCGCTTGGTGTCGTTAGGCCTTATTTGTATAATGACTGATCCAAATTGATCCCATTTCTGTGTTTTTTTACCTCGATATTTAATCATGTCATGTAAAACTATGACGTCTATTACGTATGATATTAAAAATTGACATTTGATTTATTTGAATCCGTAAATTAATAACCCTATTTTGCCATTGCTAGAAAAGAATCTGAAATTTTATTTAGGTAAATAGGTACATACAGTTTTACCACACAGCAAATGCTTATATGTATTTCTTATGCAACAATGAAGTTCTGTTTGTATTCTCAAAACAGTGTCGGCCCATAAGTTTTCAATACAGCAATTAATACCCCCTCGTTGTATCCCGTGTTAGGTGGTATAAACCTACACATGTTATTTGTCATCATTCACTTGATGGTCAGTTAATGAATTTATAACAGGTATAATTAGTGGTAACACCACTTAGATTACCCGACAAAGGTTCCCATTTGGCATTTCTTGTGTCTGGAGTAAATATTCAACATTATAAACATCGATCAAAGGATTAACCGATAACACGCTGATTGATTAATTACTTTTATCTTACACAGCGGATTTGTCAAAAGGTAGTGTTTATGTATGTAGATTTACTGAATACACTCTGACGTGTCTGTGTCTGCGTAAAAACAACGTCCTTCCTTCAAAGGATTAACCGCCAATACAGTGATTGATTGCTCATTATTGACTTACTAAATTACCGTTTTTAAAGAATGGCGGACATTATGCAATCAGTTGCCAGGTGTGCTATCTTGGGTGACCAACGAGACTATACACCAATGTGACATACCTGAAACGATATATCACTTTTTCGTATTCTAGACTGTTAAAAGACACATTACTTGGAACAGCTGCAGATGAATGGCATATCACTCGTTTTTGTGGATATTGATGGATACATTCCTCGAACAAGGTAATAGCCTGACATTGTTCCTATAAATTTAATCTGTTTTAATTTTAATATTTGCATTTTGTTTTTATTCATTTGTCGTAGCATTCAACAGAATCGTTGTTTTTGCCGTGAAGTGTAATGAGACATACACAAGGTCGTTATGCGAATTATGATTCACATTGGCAAACTATAAAATGTCTAGATATTACAGTCCTGTTATAAATGCACTATAAGTATCAGCAGATCGTCTGCTTTTTATTTAGTTTCAAAATGCATACAAGTATGATTATAAGACCAAATATAAAGACGTACATTGACTAGTATCTACAAACTGGTGCGTGCACGTTAACCACGTGAATGTAGCAAGAAATTTGTCGCGCAGTATTGTCACTTCGACCCCCAACCTCGCTTCTGTGGAAGAAATCGTTATGTTATAAGTTGTGTCATGCAAAATGCTATGGTTATGATTCAAATACATATTAAACTACGAGTAGAAAGTAGTTTTGATTTTCTAACTTGATGAAAACAAACCATAATCTCATTAATTCTAACTGACTTTAGCCCGTGACTTCACGATTTTCAAAAATGGCGGCGCCCTATCGCGAACATCCGCCAGTCTGAGTATAAATGCTATTTAGGTTTGCTTTCACCGAGTTACAAAATCAAAACTACTTTCTACTTGTAGTAAAATATGCATTTGATTGATGGCCAATGGGATTTTGCATGACATAGCGTATAACATAACAATTTCTCCCGCGGTTCCAAGCGAGGTGAGTGTCAATATAATACTACATGTACTTACAGTATTATTGTTACTTCGACCACAACCTCGCTTCTGAGGCAGAAATCGTTATGTTACAAGTTGTGTCATGGAAAATCTTTATGGTCATCAATCATATACATATTTTACTACGACTAGTAAGCAGTTTTGATTCTTTAACTTCCGTGAAGCGATCTGAACACAAGTAAGATATCGTTTCAGGCTTCCACAACGCTCGCTTCGCACTCACAAACATAACCCATTTTGCACGAACTGCGGGGTCCTGTGGAAATCTGTGCATGGCGACACCATCGCCCGACCTCTAGGAGCAATTGACGACAATGCAACGATTTGGCATGTCTTCGTTGAAGTCGAGAAATCATCACAATGACGAGCTTGCTACACACTTTCTATACAACTAACTGAAAATCCTTCCTCATATGACGTCACTGCAGTGCTCTGGCGACAGAGTTACGTAACCTGTCTGTGGTTTCGTTGGCGGGCGAGAGTGAAGCAGGCGACTTTTTGGCAACTTTTAATCGCTCGGTAGTAATTAACCACAAGTTTTTAAAGAATTAATTTGGTGTTCCGCATAAGACTGACCAGAAATCTTTCATATGTAATAGTTAAAAGAGTACAAAAAAACAAAGTTTATTTGTTCTTTAAGAAACTGATGTAATAACACTGATGATACTAGGTGTTCGCGAAAGGCTGTGCAGGTACAGTAGCATTCTTCATTTACATCAACCTGTGTACATTTGCTATACCACTTATCTTTGAAACTTACCTCGTGATTTACAGGTCCAGCTGTTTACTACTGCAAGTTGACCTTGGAACATATCTTGATCAGGTCACACACTTTCCGTACATAAATGGCAATGAGTGAGTGAGTTTAGTTTTACCCCGCTTTTAGCAATATTCCAGTAATATCACCACGGGGCCCTAGTGTCACTTACCTCTTTATATACCATGCCCATAATGCAAGGTTTGATACTTACAACGTAGTGGTTTACATGAACTTCCATAAGGAATTACTGCCATGTATTAGTTTGAGAAATTGGTTTTACGCCGCTTTTAGCAATATTCCAGCAACAACACCAGGTAGAGAATCAGACATTGTACGCCGCTTTTCGGCGTGACAATATTCGACCAGCACTCCACCGTCCTGGCACGATAAGTGTTTCCGATTAAATATATAAGTCGAGATATTGAAATATCTGCTGAAATCATGTTGCATGGAATCGAACCCGTCAAATAGTGATGTTCCTAGATATGCGTTAAAATGGGCTTTCAGCTTTTGTCGTGATCAACATATTGATAAACAGATTCTGTGTCGTGTAATTCTTCACTATGCTATAATAATTGATACCCGGAATTCTAAACATTACGGCCTCCGGACAACCTTGACAGTCAGAACTTCCATCCTGCCATCCTGAATAATCTTTTGACGTGCACATCCTCGATGTCAAAATCACACTCAGCAATATGCCAGCTTTATGGCGGCAGTCTGTAAATAATCGAGTCTCGACCAGATAATCCAGTGATCAACATTATGATCATCGATCTACGCAGTTGGGATATAATGACATGTGTCAATCCCATCCCGTTAGTCGCCAACTATAGCAAGCATGGTTTGCTGAAAACCAATTCTAACCAGGATCTTCACGGGTATCTCGGAGTGAGTGAGTGCATGAGTGAGTGGGTGAATCAGGTTTTACGCTGTTCATAGGAATATTCCATGAAATAGAACAGCTGCGGACACCAGGTGTCTGCTACTTCGAAGCTACCCAAAACCCCTTATAACCTATAATAACATTTAATGCTTCTTTCCCAACAAAATCATGAATAAATGATCCACGTTTGATGAATAATATCTGGGGCGTTTGGGTAGCCTTGTGGTTACAGCGTTCGCTTCTGACGCCGAAGACCTGGGTCGATTCCCCGTATGGATACAATGTGCGAAACTAATTTCTGGTGTCCTCTGTCGTGATATTGCTAAACGTGGCGTAAAACTCATTCATTCATGAATAATATCAAGTCTCACCTGTTGTTAAGCTGTAGTACACAGTTCCTGTCTCTTGCTCTCCGTCTTCAGGCGACATGAACAACACGTCATGGAATTGGCACCGTCGGTGTTGCCGTCTATAAAAGACTGACACGCAAGCTTCGTTCTGGAGACACAGAAGTACACACTCTGTATGACTGGGGATATTTGAAACTTCAAACATGAAAGGTATTGACACAATGCAATGGTCAAAATCGTTCCATTTAACACCAAATCCGGTGTTAATCAAAGCAGGTACATAATTCACCAGACAAAGGAAAAGTAGCTTCAGAATCATTGCGTTCCTCTTATCTGGATGCCAATTAACGTGTGGTGATTGGTAGAGGCGTTGAATTGTGTTGGACAGAGTGCGGCAGGTTAACCACAATCAATGGATCTTTTGTTGATCTGTTACCATGGGTTCTGTGACAAGTTGTGAAAGTTTCGATGTGGGGTTGCTCCGATTCAAGTTGAAACTGGCCGCTATAAAAATATTGTATCAGAAAAAAGAAAATATTTTAATTGTTTTAATAATGTTGAAGATGAATTACATGTTATTGCTTCAATGTGTAATATATGATGATCTGAGAGGGGCCCGTTTTAAAAAGTGCACTTCTTTGTGTGCAGATAAATCTGATATTGCTAAAATGTGTTTCATTTTTAGCGATTCCTTTACGTTTTACTTCAGCCAAAAACTGCTTTCTTATTCTAAAACGTAGAAAAGAATTATTTTATGGTTAAACTTCTATTTATGTTCCTCATAATTCTGATTTATAAATGATTTGTATGTGCCAATGTATGTATATTTTACCTTGGTACAGACGTGAGACGTTAATAAACTATTGTCCGTCTGTCTTTCTGCCTGTGACAGTGAAATGTGTGGGGTTGTACCTTTTGGATAGAAACATGTACATGAGCGAGTGTGTGAACGTTGTCAGTGTTCGCCTATACCTGTATAGAGCAGTGTTTTACCGGTTGAATTAGTCACAGATCGGTAATTTGTGTGACAGTGAATCCCAGGGATGGGCTGTAAACATAAATATGCTTGATCTGATATTCTAAGGTATTAGAAAATATTCAGTTTGTTATAACTTTACGATATTCATATCTTGTATTTGTAATACATTTGTACGTTAAATCTGTAATATATCGCACCACAGTCTATAATATGTCAAATATGTGAATGTAATTTTCATGCACCACGGCGAGTGGTTAGAATGAAATAAAGATTTACTGACTGGTTAACAATGTTTGCTTGAGTGTATTCCCTGAGTGGCCACACTCTAGATTACACAATCGTTAATTGTGGTGTCCAGTCCGGGACAGTCCCCGGAGCACGGTGGCCGCTCCGGGATTTGGAACTTGAAGGAAGGATAACAATATATGGATGAACAACTTCTTTATTACAGTGAAAGCGACGTTTCGGTGTAGGTTCTGACACTGTTATCAAGCAAGTGATCATCACAGTTGTTCATCCAGTTGTTTTCCTTCCTTACTGCCCCAACTTCTAAATGCCTCTCAGAGAAGTTAGGAACTTGATATACATCAATCTCATTAGCGTGTTACTTCTCATGTAACACATGTTTTGACTACAGGTTTACCTCTTTCATATGGGTATGCTGGGCATTATTTGATGCTTTAATGCTACTTCTCAGGGACCCGTGAAGGTCCGGGTTAGAATATTGATCTTCAGTAACCCATGCTTGTCGTAAGAGGCGAAACGTCGGGTATTTGACTTAGTTGACACATGACTGGCAGAGATGCTCATGCGTATACTGGATTAGACATTGTTTATATGTCACTCACTTCTCAATTATGTTTCATCATCACACAAACATGTACATTTTAATATGTAAGAGGAGATAATTATTCGTCCACTTTCTTATTAGAAGGTAAATTAATCAATCACATTTTGAAAAAACTTACAATACTGCTGACAATCGGGTTGATATGTTTGTAAATAGATGCTATTTTAAATCTGGGGGACAGTTGGCCTGGCTCTTTAACCAACCTACATCTATTCTTCATTTATTCATAAAAACATGCCCTGTAGTCAAGACATCCTATCTTCGGAAAAAAGAATTGCGGAATTAATTAATTCAACAAAACAGGAACTGCAAGACTCGATTGATGGGGTCAGAAGTGATTTTGAAGAGATGAAAAGCAAAGTAAGTGAAATTGAATTTGACGTTGCAAATAATGATGCAGAGATAAACAAAGCTCCGAGAGGAGCTCACCCACGAACGTGAGAAACGCGCGCTACTCGAACGCCAATATGTATTGAAAGATATACATGATAGACGACAAAACCAGCTTTTCTACGGCATCCCTGAATCCCCTCAGGAAAACACCGAGAAGACCCTGCGCGAGTTTCTGGTGGACAAACTTAAATTCTCAGAGCAGAGAGCTTTCGAAATCTTCTTTAAAATCGTCCACAGACTCCCCGTTTCGGAGTACCAGAAGAACAATAACCCTAACGCCGTGCGGAGCATCATTGTCTCCTTTGTGTATATGCCCGACCGAGAGGCGGTCTACGATGCTAGAAACTTTTCAAGAAATCGAGGGATAAGTATACAGACAGACCTCCAACCCCTCTTGAAAAAGAAACGCGCCATCCTGAGTCGACAAGCGGCTTCCCTGCGCCAAGACACTGGTGTCTGGACACGGGTCAAAGTGGTGTCCACTGAAGTGGTCCTCGAGACGCGAGACCCCAAGAAACCTGGATCCCCCTCGGTCAGATATGAAAATCAGTAGTCAGCGTCTCAAATATCTTTGTTTACATTTTTGATTATGCTACTTGTTCTTTACTTTCAGAGGAACTATATTTATACATTAAAAAAACCCTCATTATACTTGTTTTCAATACAGTGAGTGCAACTACAATATTGCTCCCTTGATATGTTCATGTCTGTTTTAAATTTATTTATCTCAATTAAACGCCTTTACTCATCATTTTCCGAAAATACAGGTGTATAGTGTCAATATGTTGCACTCCATGCCCTATGTGCTATATATAGCACCAGTGTCGTTTTGAGCACAACAGGTCACAAGGTACGCCGCGCCAGCGCGAGCACGTGAATCTTGCTTAATGTACATTATTACCACGCACGTGTGCGACTCTCATAGTTTGGATTATTCTTGTGTTTTGCCATGGATTCACAAACCGTAAGTAATTCAACTTTTGAGCCTTTTTTACACAAACATATTCACACATTATGTGTAATATGTTTTGGAGGATGATATCATTAATATCACGAGCTACGGTATGTATGTGTGATATGTAATATAATATGCTAACCTGTTTAGGTGTTATGACGGATATGATAGATATCATGAGCCACAAATTAACTGGTCATAATGTTTGTTCACGCATAGGGAAGCGAAGTCTTCGACCTTTCTGATGAAGTTGTCCATAGTAACCACGGATATTGCTTTGTTTTTAACTCTTTCACTGTGATTGCAGCGACAATTTTTCCTTGACATGTTTTTGTTCGTTTTGAATTAATTTATCTCAAATGAACGCTTTCACTCATCATTCTCCGAGAATACAGGTGTATAGTGTCAATATGTTGCACCCCATGCCCTATGTGCTGTATATAGCACCAGTGTCGTTTTGAACACAACAGGTCACACGGTTCGCCGCGCCAGCGCGAGCACGTGAATCTTGCTTAATGTACATTATTACCACGCACGTGTGCGACTCTCACAAGTTTACTTTGTATTTCACCATTGATTCACAAACTGTAAGTAACTTAACTTTTAAGCCTTTTTTTACACAAACATATTTACTATGTGTAATATATTTTGGAGCGACAATATGAATATCATGAGCCGTGGCGTGCACGTATGATACGAAGTATAATAGGATAATTTGTTTAGATGATAGATATCACGAGCCACATATTAACTGGTCATAATTATTGTTTATCCATGGGGAAGCGGTGTCCGCGACCTTCCACCCTCAAAAGTTGCCAATGGTAACCACGGATATTTCTTTGTTTTTAACCTTTCTATCCTTTGTTATATTAAAATCAAAATCTTTCACTTGGACACAACAACTACTTTCCACCAAATTTTGGTTTAAAATTATAAATAGATAATCATGGGGGCAAATAATACAATTAATCTAGTTTCAGCCAATTGCAGAGGTTTAGCCGATAAAACGAAACGCCAAGAAATAATGAATATATACAGAAAAAAGAAATTCTCTATCATATGTTTACAAGATATACATGTTTCTATAGACCATGAAATTATAATGAAAAATGAATGGGTTAGATTGTGTTATTGCTCCTTTCAAGTCAAATGCAAGAGGAGTCGCCATCCTCTTAAACAATAATTTTGAATATGAAATACACAAGATATCTAAGGATGAAAATGGAAACTACATCATTTTAGACATAACCGTTGACAGTATTAGATTTACCCTTACAAATTTATATGGACCGAATGTGGACACTCATACTTTTTATATAGACTTATTCAATAAGATTGTAACTATGGGTAATGATTCAATTGCAATTTGTGGAGATAGGAACCTTGTTTTAAATCCTTCGATTGACAAGAAAATTATAAGAATATCAACAACCCTAAGGCTCGTCAAATCGTTTTAGATAATCTAGAAAACATGAACTTACTAGACGCATGGAGAGAGGTAAACACTGACACGAGAAAATATACATGGTGGAAAAGAACAACAAGCTAGGTTAGATTTCTTCTTGGTCACTGAAGACCTGTTTAATATAAGTACCAATACCTCCATCATACCAGGCTATAAGAGTGATCATTCAGCTGTAACACTATCTTTATGAACACAAAATAGCAAGGAAAAGGGACGAGGGTATTGGAAGTTCAACACATCATTATTACGACATGGGAATATATAGCATTAGTAACTGACTTACTCAATGATACTAAGCATGAATACGCAGATCCTAAGTATACAGATGAAGAAGTAAACGACACAGATGATTCAGACTTACTCTTAACCATCAATGATACACTGTTTTGGGAAACACTCTTAATGAAAGTCAGAGGAAATCTATTTCATATTCGTCA